TCTACATTCAAAATAAATACATATATATACATATTCTATTTTTTAAAAAAAATATATTTTTGATAAAAAAAATTCTACATAAAATAAAATCAAACAATTCATATAAAAATCTTCTTCTTTGCCAATCTTTTAGATCTCATTTTCTCGTTCGCATTTTTTTCTAATAAAAAAAAGTGCATGAGGTGAAAAAAATTAAAAATAATAAAAATAAACAATCAATAAAAGTGGTATAATAGTGTTATAAATGATAATAAATAAAATTGTAATTATATGTTTTTATTCCCCATGAAAATCAAACATTTATTTATCTTCCTTTGATTTAATTCATTCATTGTATATGTAATGAAAGCTAATAATAGTAAGATAATTGAGAATATTAAGAAGAGAAGTGGAAGTGGAAGTGGAAGAGAAGAAGATAAGAAGGTAAAACAAATATTATTAGTACATATATTTATTATATTTTAAATGTAAAAATGCTATATTTTTTTTAACTTTAACCAAATATGTTTTTTATAGTTAAAATAAAAATGATAAATTTTAATGTCTAATTAATATTTGAATATAATGTTTTATATAATATATAGATATAAATTAATAGATATAAATGTAGACTGTTAATTTAAAAAAACTTTACCTTTCGATTTTTTTAATATATAAGTTTTATTAGTTGTTAGTTTAATAATCAAATAATTTTTATCTTATACTTTTTTTTCATCCTCTTTAGTTATTTTTTGTTCTTATTTAATCAAATTCATAGTTCTTTACAATTGAAGTTAAACAATATCAATTATTATTTTAATAAGAAAATCATACTTTAACAATTTTTTTTTTGTTTTTACATTAGTCTTTACCAATTCTTGTTTTATAATTACTTAATTTGTAAAATTTTGTTTTATGATTATTTTTCTTGTCCCTTTTCTCATTTCCAATTTCCTATCATTTTTGTTCATTCTTATTTTATTTTTTTAACTTGTATTACAAACTATTTTAATATATTAATATAAATGCTCAAGTTAAAGTTACAAAAAAAATTATTTGAATGAGACTTTAGTGTAATTAAATGCACATTCCCAAATATATATATATAATAGTAATATTGGATATATATACAATTTAGAAGGAATGTGAAGTAAAATTTTTATATTTAAAATAATCAATTTAAATTTTGACATTCCCAAATATATATATATAATAGTAATATTGGATATATATACAATTTAGAAGGAATGTGAAGTAAAATTTTTATATTTAAAATAATCAAAAAGTTAATAATAATATAATATAAATAAAATAAAAAACATAATATCTTACAAAAAAAAATGTAATATTTTCATATAACTTGACATTTATCAAATTCATACTTTTTCTCCAATCCCTT